ACGTGCATACTAAATGCATGCATGATTTTTCGATGCCCTACTTGCTTCGCACCGAAAAAAAAAAAAAAACTACCTAACCCCATGTAAAAACAAATATATTTTAAATATATTTTAGAGAATTAACAACCAAATACTAGTTAGTTTTGGAGCTTTAATTATTATTTCCCTTGTACACTGATTATTCTATCTGTTCTTCTATAATAAAATTTTTCATGCTGATCTTTGGAGACTTACTTCCCGCCTAACAGCATGAGAAGTAGCCGTGAGTATAGCAACGGAAATTGGCTGGCGAAACATTATGAAAATAATGATTGCCATCTACGCGTTTTGGCTGGAAGTAAAACCTAAATTCAATATAAATAAAAGTACATTCTGTCATTCTTCTATTTTTAACAGAGTTTTAAATTCCAACCAAACAAAGTACATTCTGTTATTCTTCTATTCTTAACAGAGCTTTTAAAAAAACATGAGTGAATAAACGAAGTTCAACCCCTAATAATCCTGACTGTCTTCATTCAAAACTACGGACAATGCCATGTGGGACGAGGAAATCGGGTTTCTAAAGATTTCTTGTAAAACAAGGGCTTATGATTAAATTATTGCAGGTAAGTTTGATTATCAAACAACTACAGTACTGTATCTTCAATGCAAGGCTTCAGACTATGACAAGGAGGGGCAGGAAAACTGGGTTAAAACATATTTGCAAAGCTTTCTTTGAAGCCAGAGCTTCAAAAAGTAAAAAAAAAACTTCCTCATTCGATCGACGAGAAAACCTTGAGTACCATTATTTTTCTCCTAAAATTAACATATCAAAACTAGAGCGCTCTAAAATAATAGCAACTAGAAAGAAAAGTAAAGAAATGCAAGAGCTTTAAATAACAAATTAAAAAACTCCCCTTGCAGCTTAACTATCCGACATATCATCAGGAAACTTTCTCATTCAATGCATGAAATTTACATATAAAAAACTAGAGCGCTCCAAAATAATAGCAACTACAAATTGAAACTAAAGAAACCCAGGGGCACTTGAAAACATTTCAAGAGGAAAACAAAAAAATCGAAACAAGAGGCCAGACGCTTAAAAAAAGGATCGCCAATTAATAATTGATGACAAGATATCGTGTCATTAACAGAAGCAGATGTATGCAAAGCCCCATTTCTATTTGAGCTACAAGAATAAGATGGCTTTTTTCTATTTATCTGCTAATTTTCTTGCTCTGGTTGTATCGGCGAGTTCTGTGAAGACTTCGAAAGGTATTTTTCTTCCGTTGCAGTGATACTCGCTTTCTTTTTGCTCTGATGTCTATGTCGTGTATTTAAGAAAGTATGAGCCAAAACCGTTTTAATTGGTCGTATTCATTTCTTTATTGAACACAGGACAAACGCCAAACGTCGGGTTTGTCTTCACCAGTTTTCTTGCTCACGAAGGCTACCATTTAAACGTTACAACTGTTGGTACAGAACAGGTCCAAGACTCCTGTGAGTGCGCGTTCAAGTGTCTGGAGAAGGATCCATGTTTGTCCTTCAACTTGGCAGACTTGGATGATAACATTGACAATCTGCTATGTGAACTGCTTCCATTTGACTATTACACCCATTCAGACAAGTTCATCACCAACCATCTTTGGTATCACTACAATATTGGGGTAAATTCTTCTCCTTTTTCTACTTTATCTTTATCATCATTTTTTCTTATTATTTCATTCTGATTATAGCTAAAACTAGTTGAAATCATTTGAGCAAATTTTATTCAACTGCTCAACGTTAATACATCTCTCGTCGGAAGCCATTTCTAAGTCGTTTTACCGATCCGTCATCGTAGTTTGTTTAACTGGTTTTTATCAAGGGAGTAAGTTATTGATTTTCTCGGTCTTAGTCTCCTTGCTCGAAGTTGCCATGTCAGAACGATGGAACTTGTGTACCTCTGTACCGGAAAAACAGCTACAAGTGTCGCTGTTCGAAAGCAAACACAGGAAGCCACTGCGAAAAAGGTGAAGTTTTGGTTTCTAGAACAATATTTTCAGAAATATTTCGCGCGCGCTTGTCGTATCTGATTCCTAAAGAGCCATCACTTGTCGCTATTTAACTTCGTTTGACTTACTTTTGCAAACAGAAATTTTCCAAAGATTATTTATTTTCTCTATTCTTTTTACATCAGTTGATAATGACTGCAGCTGTTCATCAGGACCAGAAGGAAAACAGAGATGCAAAATAGGTCAGTTAATATTCCACCTTCAATTAACGTAGCTTGGAACAGTTTTCCGACATATCTATACCAAAAGCGCCAAAAAAGCGACTTTCCCTTTACGAAGTCCATCCGCGTGCATCCAACGAATATTTCGACGAAGACTGACAAGAGTTTTTTGAGCAGGTTACGCATCTCTATAATTATCCGATAGTTGTACTAATTAATAAACAGAGAAGGCTTGACTGTGCTCTGTTGAAAGTGGCTAGAGCAAGGGTCCTCAGAGGGGAGGGTCATCAGTGAAAGTGAGCACCAAAAGGGGAGGTTCATACCTCTTTGTAAGCTATTCAAGGGAAATATGTGCATTCACCACCCTTACTTTCTAATATTTCTTTACTTTAAATGCAATACTGTGGTGATTAATATAAAGTTCAAGTTCATCTACTCTGAGGGAAGACAACTGATCTATGTGACAGAGATCTTCAGAGTCAATGTCATTGTATTCCTGATGCTTTCTGTTCGTCGCTTACTTTCTGCATTTCAATATCAGTTAGATGCTCATTAAAATCTGCAGCAAGCGTTTCTGAAACAATGTATTTTGCAGAAAACTCCTTGATTGCCCTTTTTATCCCCTGC